AAATAAAAAACAATGCAGAGCGCCGATTTGTATGCTTTCCTATGTAAAGGGCTTCCCCAAAATCATTTTTTGACTTTTCGATTATTCTATGGTGAAAAGACATTTGTTTTAACCGTTTCTTTTGTCTTATCGGCTTCTTGTGTTAATGAGTACTATCGGCACTTATCAAATTTTATGCGTTTACAGCTCATTGAAGATTTTTTTTTTGCTACTAAATGTCACTACAACGGCTACTGGTAGCATTTGGCAACATTAATTCGTAAAAACAAAATTTTCTTGCGTATTTTTTATGGTCCATACATGCTCCGAAATTTTAAACATCATGTTTCATTTTCACTGCAGATCATCATGCCAGGTTCCATTTTCTAAGTTCAAGCGAGCGAACTGTTCAGTTGCTGTTAGCCTGGTGTTTGTTCTTTGTAACAGCGCTTTTTTACAAGGAAAAATTGAGTTTTTTTTGCAAATCATGGCAGTTTGAACTTCTCGTTGAGCTTTTGATTCCTTTGAACTTTCGTGCTTTCCTTCTGCTTTTTTATGCAGGGCTCGGCACGAGGTGGGTAGTTGAAAATGCAAAAAACGAAGTCTTCCTTGACTTTTGCGAATTTTTACGAAGTCCCCTTTGACCCTAGACCATAAGACCATAATTCCCAAATAATTCCAAAAAACGAAACGTCGACTAAAAAAACGTCGCAAATTTCGTATCTTATCTATAAAACGAAACTCCTTTGCTTTTTGTCCCAAAAACGATATCCAGCTTGCTTATAAGCCATCTGTGCCGAGCCCTGTTTTTATGTATGAAAAATATTTCAAAAATAAAAATTCGAAACCATTTATTAGTAAAATCTCAACGGCACATCTACAACTCTTGGAGAAAGTTTATTTCTTGGTTTTCCACAAGTAGTTGCCGTCGCTCCGGTCAATCCGTTGCAACTGCGCTGAAATTAAGTTTTCGGGGATAGGGGTAGACCTTAAAAGAGTCTCTAAAAACTTCAGAGTTTGAACACTTTGAGCCCGAATATACTCTCAGTAATTTACAGCGCGAGTGTAACATAGAAATAGAGATAAATGAATAAATGAATTAATTTAACTGCTATGATTATTGTAGCGCAAAAAACATGCTCGCTTGTTCAAACTGAGTGCTTGCGCTTACTGGACGAGCACGAAATCTCCATCTTTTTGTTAAGCATTTTTTTTCTGCATTTTTTTGGAATATTTCACACCCATCTCTGGTACTATAGCGATTTTGCTTATCGGCCTAATTATCTCTGGTGATCGAAACTTTTCGCCCTCTTTTTTTTTGCCTTAGTAACCTCCATTTTTTGAGATTCAAATCTGTGTTTACACAAAGGACCCATAAATCCACGGCTGTCACCTATCCAAAGATCCAACAAAGTGCTCTCGGAGTGTAGCGACATCGTTTTCAAGGACTCGAGTCGCGTAATAATATATTACTTTGATGATGCTCAGTTTCAATTGCATCGCACGATATTCTCTCAATTTTCAAGGACTCGCCCATTAGTGCAATCGGGTGCGATGAGGCATGTTCGATGAGGTGAATGGGAAGGGCCTGGACGATCTGGAATGCGGAAAAGGGGCAGATCCCTTGCACTTTTTTGGCTCAGAAATTTGCAAAGTTGGAAGAATTCTTGACGTTTTGTGCGATTTATGTTGTCTGCAAATGCTTGTAATGACTTCCCCGTAGCAGTCGAACAGTACTCGTAATGGTTACAAAACTGGCCGCGATGCACCCATAAAAGCAACAGCGGCGGCATTTCGTCACCTATAGTTATGTAAACATCAATCGAGCAGCAATCAGCTGTTTTCCAGCCGTTTTTTTACTTTGTTGCAATTTTTTACGGTTGCGGGGCACGGGGTGAAGCCTGGGTGTGTTGGATTTTATGCTGTTCAACCATTCTATCGGCGTTCGTTCATTAAACTTGGCCCATCATCTCAAGACCAGGTTTTTCCAAAGACTCAGATAGATTATTTGACTCTTCAAACAGAATATCTTAGCCATTGTAAAGGAGGAATTTTCGAAGGCCTCAAGTACGCGGTCACTATACGATAGGGAATATGATAGCGTGTGGTACGGTAGGGGTACGGTAAAGGGTCACAATTCACAGATGCTAATACTTGGTTCGAACTGGCTTTTCTGACGAGTGTTGACGACGGGATAGTCCATCTTCCAATCTATCTTTTTTTAAATATATTTATTCAGAGTTATTTTTTGATTTATCGAGTTAAATCTATCTTAAACCAAACTTTGAATGCTTTTTCTGAAAGTCCAAGTATACCATGATTTCGATGATTTGTCCTATATATCAAGTTTGAGATACTCAATAGACTGCGCATCATCTCTCACAAACACTGTTGACATCGATTTTATTGCTATTTTATGGACCCTAACAAATTGTATGAACAGAATATAGGTAGGTACTTTACTAGACGCAAGAAAAGTTACTCTGAATGGATTTATTTGTAAACTTAGACATGTGCTTCGATTTAAATTTTCATCATGATATGGTATGCTGAAGAATCAAGCACTGTCTTCTTCTCTTCGCAAGGTTTGAGGGAAACTGTAAACATTTCTTTGTTTCAAATTTAGACTTTAGTATCAAATTACTTTTTGAATTCTGTTTGGATAGGATACGAAAGCCGATTTTATAGCATTGAAACATCCGAAAAAGGATCGAACATGCTCAATTCATCGTGGGTATGATCACTTTATTATGGTCGTGCCCCATATTTCATTCTTCCGGACATGTTTACTATATAATAAACGTTTACAATACGTCGGTGGAGTGCATAGCTCTGCAAATGTTGTCCAAAAAATTTCCTTCTCTATGGGGCACAACAAAGAAATTTTTTTCAAATTGACAAGCTATCAGAAAACTCTTAAGATGTTCCACAATGTTTGCAAGCTTGTAATTCCGATAAGGAGAAAGACCATAGCTAATCTCCAAAAAAGTCAAAAAGAAATTATTGCAAGAACTTTGAAAATTTCACTGAAAAATAAAAATAGCTAAATTTACTGATGAAAGCTAGACTCGCATAAGTTTTCCAAAATTATTCCCTTTCTCTACTTCAATCACCTCTTTGTGGTTAACTTTTATTCCATCGCCGGTTACAAAAAAGCAAAAACCCATACAGACAAGTTCCATCTTTATAATGTTGGCTTCAAAGAAAATTATTCGTCAAAACGAATTTTGATCTTCGACTTCTCTATGAGAACTTGAGAATTTCCTTTCCAGTGAGCAGATTTTGTCTACTGCTCAGTCTTCCTGGAAGGGTTTACCACCCATCCATATTTGTAAATGAATCATTTGACCGTGACTTAGCTTGGAACATTTTTTTTTGATATTTCAGCCAAGTGCTAGAAGATTGTAGGGTAGTACTATCGTTTTTCGCAAAAAAAGAACGATCCAATAACAAGTTAGTTTTTATGAGGTCAGATTTGTTTACACTTCCTTTTCTATTGTTATTTTACATTATCAGAGTAGTCATTCAAAATAAGAGATTATGAATGATCCGTTCTTCTTTCTTCGAAAATAAGTACTTGAAAAATCAAGCAGGAAGCAGTTTTTTATTTGGGTCTGCCTTGCAGTTTTCACGTACCTGGTTCATGCCCACACAATTGTTTGCATGTAGTCATTTTTCTCGCTTTACAAATTGTCCAACAGCTGGTAATTGCTCATCCTGCCATACTTCTTTTTACCACAAAGCTCGACACATTGCTCCTGCACAATTTGTCTTCTTTTTATCACCTAATCCAAAGCTGTGCAGCAGTAACTCTTTCCCTGTTGTTGTTAGCAATCCGGATCCAGCTATTCGCTTTTAGTGAAAGTATTATTTTAGTTCTTTCGATGGCTGTATGATAGTTTGCTGTTGTGTAAATGGAACTGGAAATGTATGGGCTATAAATTGTAGCAAAACTGTATAACGAGGCTAAGCATTGTTATATACTTTCTATAGATGTGAGATATTAGTCAGAATACGAACACTTACCCAATATTTGCAACTGCATTACTCTCTTCTTTGGAGGTTCTTCGATTATTTGGAGCTTTTTATTTGACTTCCAGTGGAATTTTTATACAATTTTGTTGTGATTTTTGTAATTTCATTTTTTATTATTTTGATCATTAAATATTAACGCTTCTTCTGTTTCTCAAGGCTGTTAACTTGCAATCCAGAAGAAGGAAAATACGCCCTTTCAGAGAAGGAAATGTTTAAAGAAAGGGGAGGGAATTTTAGAGTTTGTGGTTGGTACTACTATTATACTTCATCTTTTCATGATAGGCTTGAAGTTGTCTAGTCCATCAAAACAAAAATAGAGGTAGACGTCCCCAAGGAGTTCCGTCCTTCATCTTAATCTCGCAGCAAATCTGCTCTTTATTTAGTAGGTTGCAGAGGACATATCCATCTTTTCTGGCAATATCCTTATTCACTGTGTTACTAATTTTGATACAATTGTAATTTTACCTGGAGTGGGGAGGGAGGGGGCGGTGAAATTGGTTATATTTTTCAGTTCAAATTTGCGAGTGTTTTTTCTGGAGTTATGCCCCGAAATACGAGCACACAGGTGACTCATGCCAGCGTCCAGAGTTGCCCGTATGCCGACGCTGTGCCAGCTCCGTGTCAGCGCCGTTCCAACGCCGTGCCTGAGTTCGCTTGGAGACACCCATTTTGATCGATAGACATACCGGAACGGCGCTGGAACGGCACTGGCAGAGACTGCTTTGGACAGTTCCCATAGTTCAAGCTTCTCGTTGTCTTATAAACATTAAATTACCTAGAGCCTTTCCGTCCAGATTTACCACGAATTTTCATGAAAGGAACGTAGTGGTGCCAATGTTCCCATTTTCTAAATCTGTTCTGACCCCATCTTTTGCTTCAATTCCATCTTCTATGTGATTTCAAGGAAACTAAATTTCCTTGTTCAGACTTTTCGCTTTTTCGCGTTTTCCGCGGAATTTATGATTTCGATAAATGTCAGATTTCCAGATGTCCTGATGTTCTCGCTGTTTCTCGTTCTACTCTCCGTATCTTATGCCGAAGCCGGCTGCTATCAGCGGCGAATGTGTTGCACTGGTAGAAATATCTCTTGCAAGGTAAGAGCACAAAATTATCCTTAATTTTCTTACTTTCTTATAAAGTCTGTAATTAACAATTTTTCCAAATTCACAAACACTTTTCGTGAAAAACAGTTTACTTGCAATTTTTAGGCAATAGACGATGGTATCGGACATATACCGACAACGATGAATCCGTATCGAAAGGTGGAGGATCCACATCAGTTAGTTAAAATTCATGCTTTACTTCACTTTTCGTGATGACAAAAACTACGAATTGAACACTTTTTCTATGTTTTGTCCTCTACGATGTACTCCTATAGGTACAAATTATACAATTAATAAATTCTTCTTTCAAAATTTTTTGGGTGAATTGATCGGGAATTTGTGAGACCTCTATTTAGCTTTCATGCTACGACGACGACCGGTCCATTCACAACATATCAAACACCCTATTATGAAGCATCTGGAGATGGATATGATCTAGTCTATCCGGATGTAAGCTATTTCGTTGAGACACTTATGAACCTTCAACAAACAATCGAAATATAATAGTATAATTTCAAAGAGCGATCATTAGCGCAGAGATTCATTTTCTTTGCTGTCTCATCTGTTCTCCTTCGAAACTTTTTTTACAGGCTTCAACAAGTTTCACTATATTGAATAATTTTTTTCAATTTTCAGGTTTACGATAGTGAACATCACCAACGAATCGGAAAGGTCGTTTTTCCTGACGTCGTCGAGTTGGAAGGATCTTCAGCCGGTGACATCTATTTGAAATATGGTAAGTAACATCAGCTGTTAACTTTTCGTTTATAGTTATAAGTTTGTGAAAAAAATGCTAGTGAGAACGGGACATGTTTTTACTGACTCGAAGTCCTAGATGGGAGTGAATTTGTTCAAATGTCAGTTGAAAATAATTTTTCTTCCTTCTCGCAGAAAAGGTGGAAGCAGTGTACAAGTAAATCTGTCGTATTTGGATTTTATCTCAACTTGGATATTACAAATTATGTAAAAGGACCCATTACTCGAGCGGTGGCTCCTATGAATGTGCCTAGGATGCTTTAAAGGCCATACTTCACGCGATTTCAGTCGCGCCGCGATTTGGCAATGTTCCAATTGTTCATAACTCACTATAAGCACATTCTAAATGTGCGGAAGATAAGACATTTTATCAATCCACGTAAGTTATACACACTATGCATGTGCGGTTTGCTAGTGTTGGATCTGAAGACTTCTGGCGAATTGCCAAATCGCGTCGCGACTGAAATCGCTTGATGTATGCCCGGGCCTTTACGTTTAGGGTGTATTCTCAAGCTGACCAATCAGCCTTCTCAAATACTGCACGCTGATTGGTCCGCTCGGAAAGAGTACGTTTCTCATAATCAAAGTTTTCACAAAAGGATAAATTTTAAGCTGCTGCATAAGTCATGTCTAAGGCTTTTGCAATCAATCCATACTTCTTAGAGGTGATTCCATTTTTTAGCTCAATTTAGTATGCTGTACAAAATAAATTATCTTTATCTCTTTTTACGCTGTTTAACTCTTACACCCTCGCAGAAAATTTTTTCTTAATTTTTCATTTTATCATTTGTCAAGTTTCCGTACTTGATTTTCCCTCTCCATTTCATCCACGTTCCAGCGCCAACCGACGATGCCGTCATTTCGAACCGCGTACCGAAAAGTTATGGCAATATGGAGCGTTCGTCGCCAGTTCGGAAAATCACACACTTCCTCTTCGGTTACCCGCAAGGACCGGATACCCCACCCGAGGACATTCAACGGTATACGCCGAAACCGAAACATCTTCTCATACGGTGTGTGCTGTGCGTTCTTAACGCTTTTCTGTGACTTTCTGCTCTGCCCTATCGAAGAGACGCACAATCGACGCTCTGAGTCCGCAAAAAGTCGTCAAAAGGCCGCCGATGTCGTAGGTCTAGTGTGACGAGCATCTGAGCTTGAGTTCGGCTGGCTAATCCGAGTCCATAGGCGCTGTAAGGGTAGAGAAACAATCCTCACAAAGCGCCGCCTACTCGGACTACTAGTCCTCGTAGGGCATGCAACAGCACGCGCGAAAGGACCAGTTCGCGGAGGCGGCGCCTATCGGCGAGGTTCGTTCCTCTACCCGCATTGTAAAGCAGTGGACAGACTCTTCCGTTTTTTCTTTAGCTAAAATCTCGAAGTGACGTCTCTAATCTCTTTGTTTTGTGCAGTACGGCATGCAATTCCTCTGGTTACTGCCTATGCTGAAATTTTTTCACTTTATTATTGTTGTTTTTCTTTCTTTATGTCAAACAGCGTGACTTCATTGTTTGCTGTGAAAAATTGTCCAGGGTGATACTAATGATTTCGTGTTGCTCTGGATCTATAAAATATTGAAGCGATCCATGATAATGAATTCAGCAAAACGTAAATTAGATTGATATAAGCAAAAAAGAGATCTATATACATACTTTAGTCTTATTTGCTCTGAGAAAGCAAATGGTTTTGGGAACCTGGAAGCTTTAGGTTCCAATAACTGGGCCAGCTTCGTTACCAATTTTTTGTTTCTTTTTGTTTCGCTGTTGCAAAAAAAAATCAGTTGCTCTCGAAAAACAAACTTTCAAAAATCTGGGAGCCCTGAGTTCTGATAACCAGAACGGCTTAGTTTACAATTTTTCATCTGTGCTGATAAATTAGTTTTCTCAGTTAGGTCACACTATAGTTTTTGCTGCTTCCATTGACTGGTTTAAAGGTTTCTTCACGCATGTTATTTTCTAATAAGGAGAATCGTATGCTGATGAGCTGATATTCGTTTTACTACACAGAAATATGCTGTTCCTCCCTTTTTTCTCCCCCCTCCTCCAACTCGTAATCTCATTAGTAACCTTTGATTCAACTGGCTTGGCGGCTGTAAGGCGGAGCTTGTGACCCAATTAAGGCCGTTCGCGCCCGCGACGTAGTCTGTGTCTCTGTCGCGCGCGTGTTCTCTGATCATTATTTAGCCTTAATTAGCACAAAGCCCCGCCTTCCAGCCAGTTGAGAAGGGTATTATCTTCGCAGTTTGATCGATTTTTTGATGTGTTTGGCTTCTCATGCTTCAATGAGATAGTACAAAATTTGATTATGGTCGAATCGCGCAAAAGCAAAATTTTCATGCTTTGGGTCTTGCCCGGGATTTCACCGATTTTGAAGCGAAAATTTTCTTGCAAGTTTCTTTTTATCTGGTCTCTGAGTGTCGCTATGATAAACGAATATATCGTAGCTGTTGAACAGCTTTCGTATAAAATTGAAAAAATATGACTATTGAAATCGAAGAAAAGAAACCTTTGAACCAGTCCACTGTTTGATTGTTGTCCCTACAACATTAGAGTCAACAACTGATAAAATCCATTTAGATACTCGATTCTCAGTCAGCATTTACCGCTGACAGTATCGACTACTCCTATAACAGATTATTATGATGATGAGGAAGAAGAAGAAGAAGGTATCGATAGGTCTTATCTCACTTTAAAATATTTTGATCTTCTGGTTAGATCCGACGATTATGTACCTCGAATCACCACGTACTGACTGCTACTGTGACGAATCATGCGTAACACTTGGCGATTGCTGTTCTGACTACACTTTTGTGTGTCCAAGTAAGTCACCCATACATTTTTCGTTATTTTGCAATTTGTAAATAATACGGTTGAAACATGGTCAAAAACCTTTATAACAATGCAGGCAAAAATTTCAAAATTGTTCTTAAACATAGAATCAATGCTGCGTCCAAAGTCGCCCATGTGGCGGAGCTATGACAGCGCTAAGTACCGTGCTGGCCCCGTGCCGGGGCCCATGCCCGCAACCCGTATTTATCATTCGAAATCAGCACAGCGCTGACACGGTGCTGGCAAGGACAAACTTTGACGCAGTCCTAGCCTCTAGTACCTCACTGCATTAGAGGTGAATAGCAACATACATTTAGGCATTAATATATCACTATGATTATCCTCTCGAAAACTTTTTTCAAATCCATATGTCCTCTCACCTTGAAAATTACTTCTTTAGTTTCATGTTGTCTGTCATTGTATTATTTGTAACAGGTGTAAAAACGAATAGCTCACCTAAGCTGCGTCCGCAGTTCGATCATACCAGCACCGTTCCAGCGTCGTGTTAGCATTGCACCGAAAAGTCAGCACAATGGACGCATGTGGGGTCCGGCACGGTGCTAGACTACACTGGCACTTCAAGGTCATAGCGTTGGAACGGCGCTGGCACTTCACGCTAAGGGTATTGACACGGCGCTGGAACAGCACTGGCACACGAACTACTCCGAACGCTGCCTTACGTTTAACGCGTATAGCTTTGACTACTACCTAAAAGTAATGGAAGTTGGACATTTCGGAAATTTTTTATGGTCCGATGTATGTTCTCACATTGCTGAGGTTTTGAGGCCAGGACCACTTTGATCTAATCTACAAAGAGATTGACCACTGACGACGGCGCCTAATGCGTGGCGGCGTGGGGGACGACGCGATTTTGCACAACACTTTCGGTGTGGCAAAGTCTTGCGATTATTTGTTGTTTTGTAAACAACTACAATCATCTTAAACGACAAAGTCTACAGGTCCCAAGAGGCAAAATTTTGGAAAAAATACTGAGCTGTGGAAAAATTAATAGACCTGGAAAGGATATGATCTCGCAAGCGGTGTGGGCCACCGATGGTCCAAATCCCTAGCCGGAAAAGTGCGTGGGCCACCGGTGTACCTCATCGTCGCAATGAGTTTGATAGGGGTCAAATACGATTTTTTTTATGCGTAAACAAAATATACCGCAAATTGGCCTTTTGTACCACTCTCTTCCTGAATGTATAGTGCAAGTTCTGGGTGACCATTGCTGCGCCATTTGTCACCAAAAAATTATTTTCATGATGGAGATTACAATTCTCAGTCAACGATAATCACACTGAGAGTATAGGTTCAAGCTTTAGCTTTTTTGCAAGCTTTGAAAGCTCGAAAACTGACCGAAATCAAGGAACACATCTAACATGTTCCCTTGTGAATTTAGGAAGGGACTGCTACGTATCATCTTGGGGACCATGGGAGAACTGCATTGCTGATGATGGCACTTGTGGCATTGGAGTACAGCAGAGGACCAGATACGTAAGACAGGAAGCCATTCGAGGTGGCAAGGAATGTCCACCTTTGAAAGAGATGCGCACATGCTATGTGGAATGTCCGAAACGAAGATCTTTGGATGGTCAGCTGACTCTATTGCAAAAAAAAACTCTAAAAGTTATTGTTTCAGATATAACAACAGTTGCTCTGCTGCTTGATTATCGTTATAATGACACTCGTTCGAAAACGGCGCGAGATAACATCTATTGGGATCTGCCATCGGTGCACGACAAGCTCAAGGAAGCCACTTAGTAAGATTACATCAATTTTTTATTTTTTTACAGAATAATTTGCATTTTTAGCTACTGCGTGAAATATAAAATCGGCTATGTGAATCGGAATTGTTGGCACAAACAGTACAAAACGAAGCTTTACAGAGGGAATACGATTTGTGCCGAATGTCAGCCGGAAGCAACATTGCATCGAAATAATGGGAGGTGAGGAAATTTTTCACAAGCTCAAATGTTTTCTTCATATTTTTTAATTTTATGTGGTGCAAAAATCGTGCTTTTCTGAGTCGATTTTCCGGCGCTGAAATTACCAAATCTCAATGGCTTTGATCAACAAATTTATTTGTTTTATATTATATGTTTTACTTGTCCTTTTACGCTCAAGATGCATCGAGGAAAAAAACAGAAAACAGATCTAATTTTTGCTACAGTCTTCAGGTCGTTTTCCTTCTTAAGTAGGTATGGAATCAATTTTTACGAGTTTTGTTCAAAATTTCCACGGAAAATCTTGCATTTATCATAGTATTCCTAAAACAAATTTATACAACTAATTTCTGACTTCAAGAAAAAGTTGTGCGTTTCTGATAAGGTAACATCAACATTTTATTTGGGGTTTGTTTTCGGAAAGAATTTTGTTTTACGTATCAGTAAAATATCTTTTTTTACAAAATTGCGTAGAAGCTCGATTTCTGCAAGGCTGTGATTACGGTAAATTTGTGATTTAACACCTCTGTGTAGCGGCGCATAGAGGCCAAACTTGTTTTATTGATTTTAGCGAGCGTCTTTGCCTGCGCCGCAGCTTCGGACGTAACTGCGTCAAATTCATGCAATTACGTTATTGAGTACATAGAAATAGCATAAAATCATCGCACAAATTCGTATTTTTTCAAAGAATTGTCTCAGATGCGCATCTGATCTGGAGGATGGTGAGCACGGTTTCTGGAAACTGATTGGACCGAAGACATGCAATGGGATGTGGACACGAATCGAAAGGACAAATGATTGCCATTGCTCAGTGAACCACCCAGACTTGGACCCCTTCCTACTCGTCTAACACCTCGACACGGATATTGGAGGAATGCTGATTACGAAGGGGTCAAGCAGATCCCAAGACAAATCCCTGCCTTTATCTGACATTATCCAAACATGCACTGCTTTCACTACGGGTATGCCTGCGAAAGGCAGAACTGCTTTCGCCGCTCGGGCATCATAAGCTCTGCCGCGCTAATAATGTGCTTTCTTTGAATAGTTCTCATTTCTAACTGAGGTCTTTCGTCTTTTACGCCAACTTTTCCCGTTTACGTAGTTTCCTCATTGGTGATATGAGCATTACCCGGTTAATTTTTGTCTTGCTAAGGCTGTGTGCAGAGTTGCGCGTGCTTGCGCTGTTCCGACGCCATGTCGGCCACGTAGACACGGCGGATATTGATCGAGCGACCTCCGCCGGCATAGTCCTGGCACAGCGCGGGCACGAGCAAGTTGTATGCAGCCTGAGTTATAGCTATAGGTTTTAGTATGTAATCAGGAATAACTCTACGTCCTGCGCTTAATAAACTGTGAATCTTTTTGAAGACTTCAAAGAATTTTATGAGATCCAAGGAGTCATTTAGAATCTTCTCTGATTAGTAGTTGCTTTTAGAGTTTGCGATCATCCTCGATGCAATATTGTTTCGCTTATCCTTTCGGTTTCCGCTAAAAGCTTTAAAAGTCTGTGTCAATCGCCCTCTTTTCCATCCGCGCAGTTGCAACGCAAGAGCTTCGCGAAACATTCGCGCGCGTTTGACTTGAACATTCAGAATTAACGATTGGAGGTCCGCACGCAGGCCCTGGTGTCGCGGTTGTTGCGTAATTGCTACGCAAAAGGGGACAAATAATTGACATATTCTGTGAAAAGTCGTCGAGGATATCGTCGGTAGTTATGCGGGAACAATATCTCATATTGTTTATTTGTCACACAGGTCTCAGACAGCTTTGAATATTTTGTGTCTTCTCAGTCAATATATTCAGAACAGGAACGATTTTAACTATGCGTACATTGCATAATAATTTTGTATAGCTTTTCATTTAGATACCGCAGCTATTCGGCATACTATTCTCGCCTTTAGTGCTTTTTAGTGTTATTGGGATGTCTGGGTGAGGGCCCCTTTTGTACCCATATGCGTGCGCGCCAGCGTTGTGCCAGCGCCGTGCCGGAACTCATGTGGCTCACCTCTAACGATCGATCGACGTTTCGGCACGGCGCTTGTGGCGCTGGCATGCAACTCTAAACGCAGCCTAAGTTAACCTATGGCGCAGTATGGCGTAGCGTATTTTGCCAAGCGAACGAAGGAAAGAGAAGATATGTGCGCGTGGTACAAGGTTACTGTAACGGTGCAAAAGGGCAGTTTCCCAGATGTGCTCATTTCAATTTCAGCAAATTCTGCAGAGCTTGATGGAATGTTCTGAAATTGTTTTAAAACGCATTTTCATCTGTTCCTCTTGGTCACAAACTAGCCGTGCCACATATTGCTTTCTTTTTTTTCACTGCATTTACATCATTGCCAAGTTTTCGGTGATTTATTGTAATTTTCAGATAAATAAACATTATTACACATTGGCGGCACTATAATTTCTGTGGCACATTAGCCATTATGCTTTCCTTACAACAGAGATGACAGCTTATTGACGGACTCTCGAGGATTATGGCAGAACTTCCGTCAGGCTACGCGGGGCACTCCCATGGGTCTTGAGAAGGTTCCGAGAGACTAGAGATGATGGAAACCTTTTTAAAACTTGTTTTCTTGCGTCATTCTGAAACAAAGTTTATCAGCTGACTTCGATATCACTACATTCATTTCTGGCCTGCCCTTACTTTTCTCTCTCTCCTTTGTGGAGTCCAAACTCTAAACAAAAAAGCATTGATGTTGATATGAATCAGCGCATACAGTCACAGCTATAATTGGAGTGGTCGCGTCTAGAGTTGGTGCCAGCGCCGACGTAGACGCGCCCGTAATGATCGATCAATGGCACTGGCACGGAGTCGGCACTGGCACAGGCAATCCGACCCGAGCGCGTCCTAATGACTTTCCTCCCCAGTCAGACAGTTTCAGAACTACTAATCAAAAACTAGTTTATTTTTTCAGCATTAAATTGATCTACATTCACATCTAGACATTGAGATCTGGTAATGGCATGTAGCGAGCTTCAATTGATAGTCTTTGCAAATCTTCCGTAGCTTTTTGTGCAGCACACAGGGGATGGCGTAAGTTGTACTGGAATTAAAGAAAGGCAAACCAATCCTAGCTATCGTTTGTTCCCCAGCAAGATTCCCACAGGTATCACGTCATCTCGCTGCCTTTCGCTCCTGTGAACGTGTTAACCTCGGGCAATTCCGTTGAAATTTCAAGAGAAACGCGTCAAAAAGCGCGGAAGGCAGCGTCGCACCACGTACGCACGCTGGTTCACATGGGAACTTTTCTGGGGTACACAGGATATGTTTACTCTTGGAAAATTGGAATGAAGGCTCACTTCATGTTGCAGTTCCGTCCAATTTACTTTACCCATAATTTTCGTGCGCATCTTTCTTACAACTTTGACTGGCTGAAAAATGATTATGCAAGAAATATCAAGCATCCGACAAATTTTCATTATTCTTTTGAGCAACTCTCAGAGTTGCTCGCAGGCCGCGCTGTGGCACCGTGCCAGCAACGCTAGCGCCGTGCCGAAACTCGAAGACCATGCTCGAGCAACTCTGAATGTCTCACTACCTTTGCTTGTCTTCGATATACGGGTTCCTTATCAAAATAAGTCCAGGCGGCATCGATCCATCTGCGGTCTTCTGGTCGAAGATGGACAAATTCAGCTAAAGCAATGAGAAATTTAGATGTGCTGATAGTAGCAAATGCAGAGACCGCCGCGCCGCTGCGGCCGTAAACCAACGCGAAGCGGTTACGCAAGTGCGGCTACCGCATGAAAGCATAATATAGAGCGCCTGCGCTGGTGACAACACTTGCGCGTAAAAAATGGCAAAAAGCTCACAACCTCTGTAGTGTGTTTCATGATCATTTTCTACATGCACATGTGGTCAGCATTGCCCTTACGGTGCGTTGGTGTCTAATATTTGATTCTGACCTAATTTTTGCCTGTCTGTTTCTTCGATCAGAGCAGTGAGACCATAAGAAGTATCACTGGAGTGTGGCGAGCGTGTCGAAGTTTCGCTAGTCTCCTCGGTTTCTGTAACAGAATTTGTACAGGTGCTTTTAGGCGACTAATCCACCTCTTAGGCTGCGTCCATAGTTGCGCGCGCTGGCGCCGTTCTAGCCTGTGCCATCAATGTCATGATGCAGGGCGCGTCCATGTTAGCGCTGGCACGACGCTAGCACGGCCTCGCACCAAGGCAACTCTGGACGCAGCCTTGATCACCCTCTAAAAATTTTTTAATGTACCAAAATCGGAGTCCGTCGTGAAGCCTTCTAAATCAGATGAGGTTACTTCATCTGAGGCGCTGCTAGCATCGCTGTCGCCAGTTTCTCCACTAGAGAGATTGCTAGAAACCACTGATGTTCCGGAATGATACGAAGACAGCTCGGAGAATGCTCTAAAGTACATATGAATGAGTCGACGACGCAGAAAAACGAGCTGTAGGGGCCTTCAAGATCGCGAGAGTCGGACATGCGTACGACCACTGCGCCGCGAACGTCCGATGTCACTAAGGCAGGTCTCAGACTTACCCGCTTCAGCCGGTTCGTTCGGTTAATAGGTCAAATACTACACTGTCCAACAGCAAAGGTGGAACCGAATGAACCTGTTCAACAGGATAAGTCTGGCACCACCTGAGTCGTTGGACGCTCATCTGACGTGCGTGGCGCAATGGCCGTACGCACGTCCGACTCTCGCGATCCTGCAGGCTCCTATATCATGCGGCGCGGCTGCGACGCCTGCTTTCTCACTGAATAATTTGATGTGAAAATTATCAAAGAAACGCCATGATGCAGCACACATGTTTAAATCATCGTCCATTACCTGCTCATCCTGTCTGATTGTGCGTTCTCTGCGCTCTAAATTGCACATATCAACTTATCGAAGTAGAATCGCAACGAAACGCCGGAACCTGATCGGAATCCATCTAAATCAATCGCGGAAAGTCGAGACAATGAGTTGGGAATGAAAGTAACTATGCAATAAAACACACTGGATTTGTTTAGCCAAGTTCTTCTTATCAGATTATCCTTTTATCATATGCTTGAATTTTGTTATCCAGTGGTGGATATACAGCGATGGTAAATGCCTGCATTGCCTTATATCTAACCACTGATTCAACTGGCTTGGCCTCTGAAAGGCGGGGCTTTATGACCTAATTATGGCCCCGGTCAGACTTCACGCAACTTAATCGTCGCGACCAAATCGCCAAGATTTCCATTCATTTTCATTTCACATTCAAAAATTTCGGTCTGGAAAAGTATCACAACCGAATGCAAGTTGATCTGCATGGAATGATGTTGTAACAGTTGTCTCCTCTCGATTCAGTCGCGACGATCAAATCGCGTGAAGTCTGCCCGGGGCCTATGGCCGCTCGCCGCTATGCAATCTGCGTCTCTCTCACGCGCGTGCTCTCTGATCATCATCCAGCCTTAATTTGGTCACGAAGCCCCGCCTTCCAGCCGCCAAGCTAGTTGAAACAAAGGGTGTAAGGCGATTCCATAGAGGATCGCAGTCTCAGCGCAACACCTTCAAAGGCTTTGCCTGAGCAAATGTGATGAAAATTAGGAATTTTTTGTATGCGCGATTTAGCCAAGTGCAGGGCAGCCAATGGATGCTTTCGTCGGAACGCCATCCAACAAGCCTTGATTCCTCTGCTTAGTGTGGTCCGCAGGCCACCGATTTTCCACAAAATTGAAGAGTCATAATCAAAATCCATTCGCGTATCTTCACCTACACCGTTTTTTATTGCCGTTTTCTCGCAAGGTTTCAGAACTAACTACAAATTACTGTGCTCATCGAGGTAAAACCTAGTCTACCGAATGCTGCATCTATTGTGCCACTATAGGGCAACTTATAACTGGGAGATAACACAACACGTCGCTATGAACGTTTATTGTGAGACTGAGGAAGCTTACAACAGAAAAGCCCCGTTGACCCCCGAACCCGCCCGCTATACTGCGGGATGATTTATGTATAGGTCGGTTCGGCCACAATACGTAGCAAATGGCCGAACACCGCGGAGCCATTTGCAGGTAGCATATCCTCTAATTTTTGCACAATTCTTGTGCGATTTATCGGTTTATTACCGTATTTCCTTTTGAGTTCCTCAGTCATCCATGTATAATTCTGTGGAATTAGTTGTATACCTTTCACAGTTAGCTCAGCCCTTCCTCTGAGGCTGTCTTTAAGAAAGAACATTTTTTCTACTGTGGTCAAACTTTTGTTTTGATCCACTAATGTGTTAAAAATACCCCAAAATTCGGGAAATTCTTCTTCATCTCCATAAAAGCGTGGTAGCTTCATTTGATGGAGTTTCAAACTTTGACCGGCCATTTCGTTACCATCTGTCGCATTTCGGCTGTCATCAGAACTGTCCTCTGTAAGCCAGGCAGCTTCTGTTGGATTAATTACCTCATCAGTGCTTTTACTCTGTGTAGGTCTCCCAGGATCCGATAATATTTCGGTCTGGGATAGATTGCTGGTTATACCCAACTTTCTCGCCATTTTCTCGGCGTAATTCTGCGCTTCTGATAGTCTTTTGGTCAATATGCACACCAATTCGGTGGCGTTGGCCATATGCTCGATAAAGTTTGTCTCGATTTCTACCTCTTCCAAACTTTTATCCGCATCTCTTTTATCGAGCTTTTGGGCCTCTGTGTGAGCTCGCAGCAGTTGGTCTATTAAAGACTGTAGCGAATCCTTGCTGATTTGGATGGCGTTTATGGCACCCTTTATGCTGTTACATGTTTCGTGGCACGCTTCATAGTTGTCCTCAAATGAAGCGTTCAGTTGCATTTCCTTCGCATATGGTGTGAATTTATCCACAAATGATTGAAGGGATTCTATGCCGCGAGTAATGGCTTTTTTATGTATAAACATCGACATTGCTCGAGGCGTTGTCGTAGTTCAATTCCACAAAGGATAGAACTGTTGATGCGCTGCTTACCGCAGGGCTAGGTATTGGCTCAGAAATTTGGCCGATGCACCAGAATTGTGCCACTATAGGGCAACTTATAACTGGGAGATAACACAACACGTCGCTATGAACGTTTATTGTGAGACTGAGGAAGCTTACAACAGAAAAGCCCCGTTGACCCCCGAACCCGCCCGCTTTACTGCGGGATGATTTATGTATAGGTCGGTTCGGCCACAATACGTAGCAAATGGCCGAACATCTATGATCTTCTGTTTTTCGTATTTTCAAGGAAGTTTATTTTTTCTGTTCCATTTGACAGAATAATCTAAACTCGCGAGATAGTGTTATTGTTGTTCTTGTCCACCTTCTGTTCCACTCTGCTTTCGATGCCAAGAAGGAGGGTGGATGTTGATATTTACGGGTGGTGGCGGTGGTAACATTATGCGAATCCCACGCCGGATTCTACCGGAACCTCCACTGGAAGCCGAAGAATTTTCCCAACCCCGGCTAATATTTTGCGGAACCCTAAAAAGAAATTATTTTTAACGAATGGAAATTGAAGATTATTGCACTCTGTTCCGTTAGACTTACATAGCGGCTTCCGATCCTGTTGCTGTTCTCACAAGTATGAGCGGACTTAGAATCACGAGCACGAGGTGAGATAGTTGCATTTTGTTTTAAATTTTTCAAAGCATCATAATGCAGACTTTTATACCGAGATTGCCAAAGTAGACGTGTCTAAAAGCTTATTGAAAGTCTCTTCAGCTTTTAGTGTTGTCGATTGATCAACTGAAAGCTCTTTGTAACCATCTTGACAGCAAGCGAATTTAGGCGTGGTGGAGCGTCTCTTTCGACAAATACGGTTTCAAAAGCGGAAAAACATATTTTTTATTGTTTCCTGGTGTGTGTAACAGCTAGCGTATCAAATCTGAGAGTGCAAAGTGGAAAGCATACTCTGCACAAGTGATGCAGGCGGCGTTATCTCCACGTGATCGACATATTAGGTAGGTTTATGCGAAGTAAACCTTAGGAAATTTTTCGAATAAATGAATCCCGAACAGAATCGAAAGCTAAGAATATCGAATAAATGGATAACGATTTTATTCGAACAATGGGAGTCAAGTTTCGAATTAATATTCGAATGATTACGAATATCTAAAGCAACCATATCAGGCTTGCTGACATACCCGGCTAAAGCCGATTGATTCACAATTAGCACCCTCACATCCCTATATCAGCTCCCAGCTCTGTAGCTCCAGATTTTTCAAAAACTGGTAAAATCAACAAAGTAGATTTTATTCATAATCAGCATTCTCATCTACCCCCTATCAACTCCCAGCCCCGTAACTCAAAGTTCTCCAAATTCGATAAAATCGATGAAGCAAATTTGTGATTGTTCATGACCTATCGTAGGCGCATTCTAAAAGTACAGAGGAGGGCATTTATCTATTTAGAACCTATACACCCTATACATTTGTGTGAAGCTGGCGTTACATTTGAGGACATCTGCTGACTTGGAAATCGCGTCCGACTAACGCGTGAAGTATAGGGCATTCGAAAAATCGTGACGATGGCGCGACCGCGCGCGATACGCATGCATTCCCGGCAAGCACAGAAATCTTGGTCTTCATCTCTACTCGATTAGTTTTTCTGTTTACGTATGATAGTATAATGACACTGAAAGTGATTGAGGTGAGCGTTGAGGTGATGCCTTTCTGTATGAGTGCTTTATGCTTCTGGGGACGCAAAGGCCGCAGTCGAATGCATCGCCATGATTTTATAAATGACCTATAGGTCATAGGGTTATAGGTTTTATAAATGAACTACAAGTCCCCGCACACATATCTCCGTCAGAGTTCACGCGATTTCGTCGCCGCGATTCTTCCACCAAGACAAACAGTTACTAGTGCATTGCATCCCATCATCTTGCATTTCGGTTGTGATAGTTAGCCATGATTGGTCGTGTTGGAGAACTATCACAACTGAAATGCAAGATGATCGACATGCAATAGACTCGTGACTGTTTTTTTTTTCTGAAAGAATCGTGGCGATGAAAGAGCGTGAACTCTGCCCGAGGATTTAAACTGCCATTGAGCCTTTTTCGAGTCGTCTAGATTCTGCATCTATACAAGACAAGCTCGGGAAATTATGTACGTCTAGTGAACGTCTTACGCCTAGTGTCTTACGCCCTAAGAAGGGCTTTGATGGTTTACGTTCTCATGATAGAATTTTTCTGGGATGTCGTTATGTAACTACACCCGCGGATTGTGTGGAACATTGTGGATTGCGCCCGCCGCCGCCCGCGGTGAATGGAACTTTGCTCTGCTTTTTGAATTTTTCCAAGTTTCGGAGTTTTTCTTTTGGAGCGGTATTAAAGGTTTGATTCTTTTGCAGATGCTATGCTGGGTACAGACAGGTTTTTGGATGTTATTTGTGTGTAGGGGATGTCGATGGTATAGCTGCTTTGTGCATTTTGTAATGTGTTTTGTTTTCGAAATTATTATTCGTTGAATACAACATCTTAGCATTAGCTTCAGAACAAGTATCACCATGTATTGTCCTTCGACTCGTATTGTTTGATTTATCTGAGATTTGGAGAATACTAGAGTATATTTTTAGATGAATTCTTTTTCCGTAGACGAATTGATGCTATCGTTTGATGAGCTAAAACCGTTCAGCGAAGTTCTCCACGATGATATACAGCTGTATAGACTGCATAAGCTTTATAAGGTATGTTATTGCCTTTTCTCGCTTTCTAGATATGTTTTTGAGCTTTTTTCTTGTTTGAGTGGTATGGTTTCAATCAGTGCAACCGATCACTTCGCTGTCACCATTTTATCATTCAGAATCTAGACAAGCACGATGATGATGCTCTTTTACGACATATCTTAGTCGTTGTTTCTTGCATGGAAGATTGTCTGCATGCTGATCCGCCCTTGATAAAAATGCTTCAAAATTGCCTCGTCGAGTAAGTTGGAGACATTCTTGTATAAATTGGATATTTTGTTTCTTATCACTTCTTAGAATGACATCGCTCATCGAAAAAACAAAAGAATCATCTTCAAAGAATCTTCTTGCGATCGCGACCGGAATCCTTTTCAAATACAGCGCCGCGCTGCTGCAGATACAAGAAGATACTGACTTTGAAGTAGGCATGCAAATTTTATCAAAGTTTCTTGTTAGATATCTTTGATCCTTTGACCATGTTTCTTTTCCAGCTTGCTCTTTTCCTCAATGCTATTGCATATCACTACCTCAGTTCTGCGTTATCTACGGAAGCAGACGTTTCTGCATGGATCGCTCTACACACGCTTGGTGGGTCCTACTTTCTTCCCCTTTTGTTTTCACGTTCTGAGTCCTAGTAGTTAGTGAATATTACCTTCCATTCAGTTTATCTACTGATTTTTTTTCTTTGTAATTCATTTACATATAGCTAGTTGTTTGACAATTTCATTTTTTTTAGATATATCAAAACTGTATTCTTGCCTCTTGTGTAGCAAAGACTCCATCATAGGCGAAAAAATAGTTCGTCAATCCTAAGACCTTGGAGAAGAACGTTAATATTTAACTATGCTCTAATCTAAGAGGTGTTTATATTTTCAGAAGCAGGCGCAGCTATCACGTATGGTTATGTCGTCGAGAATGAAGACATCGAACTGTGCACAAGGGATGATGTGAGTGCTATCTTCCTCTCATACATTTGCGCTAGACCAATTTCCTTGAAAAAATCAAATGATCATGTTACTGATGCCTAGAGTTCCTATTTGCATGACTTATTGTATTTTACTTTCCTTCACCTGCAAGGTTTTGGATTTAGAATTGATGCAGTAATGATCTTCCAACATCTTGTAATTGCTCTTATGGTATCTGTGGTCTCCTTTCCATGTTATGGCTATTCATTGACGTGTCTTTCATGACTAACTGTTGAAGTATTTTCGATCAGCAGATCCTGATGAGTCCATCTCATATTTTGAAAAACAATAATTGGTGTACCACTCTTAGCTTCTACCCATTACCCATTTCGTTTTAGTTAGCGGAGTTCTGTGTGGACAGTTTGATACCATCCGATGGTCGCATTCAAAGGCTTCATGCTGGAGTGTATCGTGATGCCATTGCTGCTGCACCAACGGTTTGGCCAACTATCACGGTCATGCAAGTAAGAAAGATGTTTGAAAGTAAGTCAACGTAACTTGATAACTGTTAGATGCGACTCATATGGTGTTTATTTGTTGTTTCCTAATCAGGACTAACACCGGTGCTCAGCAAACCTGATGTTTTGCGGATTATTGTGTGGATGATAGGACATGATAGCACTTTCGAAGAATGTGAGTTGCGAATTTTTGTTTTCTATTGATGTTAGATTCTCTCAAAATATGTTGAAGTAAATGTGGGCCGCAACTCAAAATCCTTTTCTTCAGTATCCATATTCGACAGCCTACTCATGCGATCAAATGCGCTGAGTAAAAGTAATGATCTTGATTCTCCTAATCTCAGTGGTACAGATGTCAAGGTCAGTTGTGCATCAATTGACTATTTTGGGTTGAAAATAAACGAGCCGTCTTTCAGTGTTTCTTGTTTACTTTATCGCTCTGGAGTGACTCCACAACAGATCCAGCAGTGGTGCCAGCTCGTTTACGCATCAGAGCTGATCAGAACAACTGCTGGAGAGCTATTTGCCAGCTACTTTGCAGGTATTTGATTTCACTTCTTTTTTTCGTTATTGTGTTTTTAATTGATTACAACGTGAAAGTTACGAGCATAACTCAGCGTAAAGTTATTTTTGCATAATGTGCTTTATCTAGTACCTCTCATTATTATTTTGAGCAAAGGAAGTAGAAATAGTAAGCTTCCTGTACACTTCATACTCTTTGTTTAACTTAACGATCAGTTTATCGCTCATGAATCTATATTTGCAGCAACTCTGGAAATGAAAGCGTAAAAAGTGTTTTACTGCGATCTCGAGTCATAGACTCCGTAAGGCTGCGTCACCGTGTCGTATCCCTAAGGAGGCTTTATGAAGTGAGTCCCAGCGCTTTTTTCTTCTGCTTTCTTTTTTCAAATTTCTTTTCTCTTATTCATTGTACTCCACTGACTACACTAACCGCAACTGACTACCGTTTGTAGGTATTTCGATGGCTCGAAACTCATATAAAGAATCATCAGTGGTTAATGTTGTACGCCACTGCAATAAATGAAGTAATAACGGGGTAAGTGCCAGTGTTCGATCTCTTTGGTGCTGGCCTCTGCTATCGCATAGCTTCATTTTTAGTGCACCCTCGCATCGCAGAAAGTGTGACGATCTGTTCCCGGATGGAGTGGATGATGATGCAGATATGTCAGTCGATGAAGTGGATCGTATCGAGGAACATGTATCAAGGTTTTTCTTCCATGATTGGTCCATGTTTTATCTGAAGACTAAATGATTATAGGTATATAGCCTTACAGCATCTATCCAAAAACGAATTCACTCGTGCTGAGCATCTGTTGATTTATGCGAACTCATTCGAAAGCAAGAAACTGCTGTTGAAAGTGATTGTTCAAATGCTTCATCACCATATTTAAATAGGTAATATTCACTTAGGTTTATCGCAAATGGCTCGAGGAAGGAACTCTAGAAAAGCAGGAACGTGATCAGCTTTCCAAGCGTGTGCGAGAGCTTGAGGTATTGAAAAGTTTTTTGTTTCATAGTTTTGAAGTTATCGTTCTCAGATTGAATGTTGCGAGGAGGATCTAAGAGGACGTACCCCATCGACGAACTCTGCTGCTTCGATTACTTCAGGTGAATTTGAGCATGCGTTTGTTGTTGCTCGTTTTGCCACATCTACTGGCTAGTATATTATTGTTTCGCTCTATTCAGCTGATGAAACTGTAGCTTCCGCCATCCCACCTGGTACACGAAAGAATTTGGTGGATGCTTGTACAAATACTCCTAGTCGTGTAGACACGGTGAGTTGTTTTTAGAATTATGATGTCAAGCAGTTTTTTCCGTTCCGTCATGATAAGTCGTTCACTGTCTATCCACAGACATCCCTGGCTATGCTACAATTAGACATGTAGCTTATCTAGTTTGCATAATCATTTCTCCAAACGGTGGCCGATTTTTGAACTAAGACGTCATTCCCTTATCTTTTCAGTCCACATCCTGCGGTGACGACGCCTCGTTCTTCTCTGCCAAGAGCGATAGAAGCGGTGCAGTAATGCATGAAGAATCTTTCGCGAGTGCCGTTGCTAGTCCATATGCTCCTTCTTCGGGAAAACCGCCACTATTGCCGACATCGCAAATCGTTTCCACTACTCCGATTGGATATCAAGATCATGCAACGCAACATCCCGATGGTAGCACGTTCACATCAGCAGCGAGTTCTACGGCTCCGACCAAAGCCGATGATGCAGTTCACTTTGGGAGCATAGGCCATCCACAACTGACTGCTACGAAACCGGTCATTGCAAGCTCTCCCAGTGTAATTGTTCAAAACCCAGCTGTACCAATCGTGCCTAATATAACAGCATCTCCAATACCTATAGTCGTATCGAAGTCCCCCTTTGGCCCACCGGTGATCAACAAAGAAGCGGCAGCCTCGTTTTGGAAAAGCGGCAAATTGGGAGGAGCACATGCTTTCACATTGGGAAATAAGCCTGGAACTAATGCGCAGCCCATGGCAGGATTTGCTGCGAATGTGCCAGCTGCGAGCTGTCCAGCTACAACAGCTGCCCCAGCAATGCAGTCTCCTTTCGGAATCCTCCAACCCTCACATCCGCCCATAGGCCTGGCTAAGCCTGCTATAGTGCCGGGAGTGACGACAACAGGGTCGATTACTGCCATGGGTGGATCTGCACAGGGTCTCAATATTCCTTCGAGTGCTTCCCCTCTGCCGACAGCCACTTTCATGAACAGCCCCAGCTCTGCACCACAGCTGACCGTTCCATATCCAACAGTGTACAGCAATGTGCCATCTTCGGTACCACAGAGTACTTCCGGCTTTGGGTCGTCGCTGTTCAAACCTGCGAGCGCGAAACCTGCTACGCCTAACGTAAGTCTGGCTTTAGTTCATTCTCCTATTCTAATAAGTATGCCTGATTTAGACTCAGACTGGCTTCCCCGCGTCTGTTATCAAAAACTCCCCGTTGACCCCAGCTAATGTCAGTGGTATGAGTGGCAAGGATGATGACGATGAACAATGTAGGTTTCGATATCATTTTAGATTTTTACGAATTTCCTATGTCAACAATCCTTTGAGTTGAACTATAGTATACTTTTCTGCAGTCTATAATGACTTCATGATTGAAATATGCCGGAAGCAACTGGAGAGAACTGGAAAAAAGCCTTCTGGTAAAGAGGTAGGCTGGTTGGTGGGATTGTAGTGTTTTATCGCTCATAGGTTTTGCAGGCCCCACTGGAAGACATGCATACCCTTCAACAACGGTTAGCTGAAATTGAGAAGCAAATGAAGAAGGTTGAAAGCCAGATACATGTGAATACAAACATGTAAGGCTATTTTTTTAATGATTTTTTTTACTTTTAGTTATTCCCTTAAGTGGTGGTTATTTCAGCCCGTCAATCACCCCCTCCTCTTCCGTAACAACAAGAACAACGCCGACGCCAGCAGAAATCATCCGGGTGAATACTTTCTCTTGATTGATTAAGAAGTGTGTAATAACAAGACCTTTAGCAACACCAAAAAGAGGCATTGGTGGAGCTGGAACAACAAGTTGCGCAACATATCAGTCCCGCAATAAAGCAGCCCATCAGTACACATTCCTCATCAATGGCAGGTAATTTCTCTATCTGGTTATCAACCATCGAAAATTGTGATTGCGAGCTCTCATCATTGTTAAGATTTCATCTTATTCCAGGTTCAGATGGTCAATCGGTTGCATGCACCGACCCAATGAATCTTTTCCGTGGACTTTTGATGTCAAACAGTGGGGACTCTCTCAACACATCCAAAACAAGTGCTCCTGCTGCGAGTAAGACAGGCTTGACCACTGGTTGGTAATTACTTTCTGAATATGGAGGTACGTGTTCAAAGGTTGTTCGTTTTAGGATCGGCACCATCTGCACAGTCAAATCCAAACCCTTTCAATAGTCCACTTTTTAAGATGGAGCAAAGTTAGTATAGTCTTTACTATTGCATCCTCTTGTTAATAGATAACATTGCTCTTTTTCTAGTGGCTCGTCATCCAGGCAGCGTCGGTGTTTGCCTAGGATGTTTGGACAATGATAGTCAAGATCGCGCTTTGCAGGCGCTCACAAAACTTTCTGAGCAATGGGATGCTGAGACCGACTCTGATAGCAATGACTAATGTTTGTCTCGCCTGTGAATGAAATAAATACGGTTCTACTAGAGATTACCTTGTGATTTTATGATGTTCTTAGTTGTATAGAAGCATACAATAAATTTTGTGCCCTGTTCTAGTTCAGTATATGAACAAAGACGGTGAGTCAGCTGTCGGGAAATGAAACGTCAAACGATACTTTGTATGCGAGGCCTTACTTCAAACTTCCAGACATGGTTGAAGCCTTGAAACGTCATTTGGAAAGCAATTTATCAGACTTCTATGGAGCTGCATTCAGTGTACCTGAAAATGAAAACCCCAATTTTTGTAAAGGCGTGGTCATGAAAGTGCTGACGGTTGAGGCTTCAACCATGTCTGGAAGTTTGGAGTAAGGCCTCGCATACAAAGTATCGTCGATTCGTTGACCGCAAGGACTGCTCAAACGCTGTGGATTACGCGCGGCGAGGCTAAACTGTTGCACGAGCACGACTTGTACAACGGCTGCAATGAGGCAAGCATTTGTACCTCACGGCGCGTGCTCCACGGCGATGTTCAGTCCATGCGGTCAACGAATCGACCTTACAGGCTGCGTCAATCGTAGGCGTGATTCTGATGCGTTCTAGGTAGTGTTAGAAGTTGATGATATTCGCTCAGCTATAGGGCTATGCTTTGTCTTAAACGTGGGCGAATTTGCAGCTATTGCTCATGCAATACAGCATAATTATTTTCCAGTAATTGCGTTCGTACTTAATTTGATCGCTACGGAGCATTCATGAGCTGGTATCAGTTCCCAAAGACGCATTAATGTCATTTTGCTTTTCCTTATGTTTAGTCGCTTGCTTTACTGAAGTTCTCAACGTTTTATTTGCAGCCTGATCAAATTTTATCACAGCTCTAGAACAAAAGAACTGTGGACAAAAATATCTAAAACAAAATGATTTGAGGCAAAAGGACCCGTAAACTCAATGAGCGTGATTACTGACATGATGGATAAACGATGAAAGACTATGTTTCACTAAATTTCACTTCGCACAACAACGGAATATGATCACTTGGAGCTATTCTCGAAGGTAATGCCTGATACTTCATTACTCTTTCCAGAGACGGGCGTGGCGCCATTCTGTGCAATATAGCGGAGTCCGTCCATATATAGTCAAGACAGCCATTGTAGCCACGTTCGCAACCATTTTCGTCCTTGTGGCGCGTGTAATTCGTAACTTCAGTGCCAGTCAGATTCTTCAGACTCAAACTCTGTGTGTTCTGCGTTATCTAGAAAAGGTGGAGTCGCAAGGAGCTAATTAGAGCTAAGAAGGGTTAGTTACCACTATATCTTCAGGCACTATATTCTCGTCCAATTTCCAACATCTAGATTCTTTGGGCAAAGTTCCCTAGAAAGGGAAAGTCGTTGAAGGCATATGACCACATCACTAAAGTTTGTGGAACTCACAGTGCTCAAAAGCTCATAGACAGGACCACTAGGATCGCTATTAAAATCACCAGCAAAAAGTAGTCGAACTGGTTGATTCGGGTTTGATTCCGCAAACTGCCTTCGTACGCTGCAGAAAAAAATGGTGAGTAGTATAATGAGAGTTGCCTCACAAACCTTTCCAACTTCCGGACGGCAATGACTGCTTGTAGCACCTTTAAATGTTCGTGCTTTGGATTGTGATGGAGATGCGTGTTACCGCAGATCAAAACATCACCAGCGATACGATCACGCAGAATTACTACCTGATGAAACATGTGCTTGAGCAATAAGCGTTGAGAGCAGAATGAGTGACAGAACTTTAATTAAGAATAGGAACACAATTTCTAATGATGACAATACAAGCAAAATGCCGACCGAAATCATATTACCTGTATCGTAGTTGGTCGGCTGATAAAAATTTGGAGTGATTCAGCACTTGAGTTGATGATGTTGTTGATATCACCACCACTGCTTTCGAGAAGCGACGCAATGCCATAACAATCGGTGGAGATCAGACTGAAAGATAGTTTGCTCGTACATGTCGCAAAATGGTAAGGTTGACCTACTCAAATCGCTCTCGACGGAAAGCAATAACTGATCCTTCAGTGACTTCCTTTTCCTTCTTTGCAAAACACATTTCAACATTAATCGATCCGAAAAGGGCACTGAGGTATCGCATTTGCATCCTATGGTCAACCTCCTGCAAGAAGCATAGATCCATATCGTAACCTAAAACGATACGTATGATTCACACAATCTCGTAGAGCTTAGCAAACTAACTTAACAGTTCCTTGAGCAGCAATGGATATCGATACTCGTACATTTGATAAGCTTTAGGGCAGTAGGGAAAGAATAGCGATTCTTGTGGTCCAGACAGATCCAGATATAAATCAGCAAGGAGATTATATGACAATATCCGTAGACTAGGAGAAAGAAATTCAGGAAACATTCTGCTGACTAACAACGAACCAGTAAGGTGGCTTTTCTTTCCTGCACCATTCAACAATGCCTTCGCATAATAATGGCTCGTCAATCGTTTCGATAGCATGTTTAGAAACAGCAGATCTATGAAAAGTATGCATGAGTCACCGAATATATAAGCAAAAAACTCGAACACTTACTTGACTATGGCCTCTGGACCTAGATCAGCGACGAGAAAAAGGTTTTTTCCCACGTCAATGGCTGATGGAACATAATTTGCACCCGTCCAGCGATATTCGCAATTCGAAGCAGAAAATCTGCGAGAAGGACCTAGATTTATTAGGTGGTGGCAATCAACTTGACTTGCAATATAAAGCAGATACAAAAAATTGGAGCAACATGCGGTGCATAAATGGCCTACCGTCTAATAGAGTGATTATTTCTTTTGGTGCAGTCTCCCTGGACCTTCCGTTGACATTTTCATCGTGCTGTAGGTTACGAATATACCAGTGTATCATTGGTTCTGCATGTTTTGTACCTAAAAACATGATATGTCACAAAACAGCTGGCAGATAAAAGATGTAAAATACCACAGCACATTTTACTACGAATAGGGTGCTGCTACACTAACCTTGCCTAAAATCTACAGCTGGGTAGATAGGACATCCAGCTATAGGTTTCAGGAGACATGCCAGCGATGCAATATCCGGGGGTTCGCGTATTACTGTGAAGGATTGACCATCAATGACTAAGTTCCTCAGCGAAGTCATGGCATCTTCGAGAGACTAAATAACAGTGAATAGTTGTCAATCGACTAGGGCAAAGGAACTTACTAGCGAGTCAACTGCTTCCAACCCAGGCGCTTCAACAGCTACTGGTTTAGCAGAGTCGACTGGGTCATGACTAGGTTTGGATTTCTTTCCTTTTTGTGGGTTTATTACCTTTTGAATTTTAGTCTCTATCTGTAAAAAACAATGATTGTCTACGAACAACAGAAAATACTGTAAATAGAGCTTACTCGTTTGATAGTTTCAGAGAAAGGCTCAGAAATTGGCCTTCTCAATGCTACTAACAAGGGAGACCCATCATGAGGAAAATCAAATAGAAGCGAAAGGCTTGGAATGCTAAATGAAAAGATAAAAGGAACGTATGATGTGAACGGACTTTATGGACGAAACTTTAGTAAAATATACTTACCTCGCTGCATTTTTTGGATCAGGGGGATCCTTCCAGACTAAGATGGAATTTTGGGGTACTAGCATAGGAAGAAGTGTTCTGAAAAACGCAACATCAAAAATCGCATGACTTGATAAACGTAGTGTTATTTCACATGTGAATCTATTTGTCAGACACTAAGTATGACACTATGACTAAACAGAACCGTCGAGAATGATCTGTGGACTGTCCGCATGTAATGATTCACGCAAAAGGTATTGCGTCTCGTAAAAAAAGACTGTTCTAAGCTTCGGCATTTCGAGTTAGAGATGTAATCTGTCTTCAAAACATTCCTTTGCTTTCTTCAGATTGATAGTTTATCTAACTACCCAAAACGGATTCACTCGCTCTCGCCAAAATGCTTGCTGTTTTGTTCCATAGTGTTTTTCCCGATTATGCCGAGAAATCATATTCAGGTAAGGAGTTTGCAACTATGGGAACCAATACCGCATCGTGAGACCACAAATAATCAAGAAAAAAGGAAAGAAAGCACAAAGTGAACAAGGCTGTTTCTGAACAATACCTTCTCGCTGTCCAAGCAGTGTACGGGAAAACCTTGGCCGTCCGTTTCCGTGACGCACCAGAGGTCCGTTCAATGGCTTCGGTGATCTAAATCAGAATTGCTAAAGTCCGACTAACACTGTGCAATGTTTCATAACCAGATTACATAAACCTCACTACGGCAAGGACTTACTTCTAACTGTTTGCCAAGCACACGTTCCCACTGTCGAGCTCTTGACTTAGTGAATATTTCACTCAAAAATCCGAGAAGTTTCGAAAGCATCAAAACATCACTACAGGTTTCCCAACCCGTTTCTTACACGTCGACGTGGAGTGGGGTGTCCGTTCTGCAATGCTCCCGCTCTGGTCTTTCGGTAGGTGCCAGAGTAAGCGAATATTTTGTTCAAGTTGGGGTCCCGCGCAGAACGGACGTCGCTCACCATCTCAGACACTCGCTGCGGCGGCGCGCGCGTCTTATGCGTGCGGCCCCTCATGTCGCCCGCCGCCGGCCGTCAAATAGCGCGCGCGCCGCGAGTAGATGGCACGCGCGCCGCGAGTAAATGGTACGCGCGCCGTGAGTAGATGGGACGCGCGCCATACGATAATGGCACGCCGCTCGCACGGTATGAAAATTGCCATTCGCATTTGAAGCACTGCGAATCACGGTGAATCTGTGGTAGACCTGATGACAACCTTCAATTTCAGGCAAACAATGGCTTCAATTTCAAATATGAACTTGAAGTTTCCAAAGTTTCCAAATTTTTGAAATTTGAAAATTCAAATTTCAAAAATTCAAAAATTCAAATTCCCAAACTTGAATTCAAACTCGGCACCTACTCGCGGTGCTTATGAGGACTGAGTCTCAAGAAGAACTAGAAGAATCCCACTTGTGTTAATGAGACAACTCCATCAGCGATAACCTTAATGAATTGGCGATAAAGCACCCAAAACGCTGCGTCGTACTTCACGCAGGTATCGCTTGTGCTTACAGCGTGTGAAAATGCGGAAGATATCATGGCACGCCACTCACTGATAGATTGCGCGCCGCTCGCACTCTCAACTAGGGCGCGCCGTTCGCAATACAGTGTTATAGTGGCGCGCGCGCCGCCGCGCCGAGTGTCGAATAAGCGCGCCGGCGGCCGTAATAAGGCGCGCCGCTCGCCGGCTGCGAACGATGGCGCGCCGCTCGCACTGCAGCCTCAACTGTGGCGCGCCGCTCGCACGGCAGCCTCAAATAGGGCGCGCCGCTCGCACGGCAGCATCAATTAGAGCGCGCCGCTCGCACTGTAGCGCTATTATGGCGCGCCCGCCGCCGCAGCGAGTGTCTGAGATGCTGGCGTCAATCCAAGTGACGTCAATTCTGCGCGGAACCCCAACCTGAACAAAATATTCGCCTACTCTGGCACCTACCTTCCTCGCTACTGAAGTGGAATAGATTTTCCGCTTATTATGGTGTGCTCGCACTGCAGGTACAGGGCTCCTAAATTGCAGAGTCGTTTGCACCAGCGGTCGCGCGATCGCGTCGCGCCCAGGCATTTTGCCGGCGCCGGCGCCATCGATTGAGGCGGCGCCATTGATGCCCGGGCGCGACGCGGTCGCGCGACCGCTGGTGCAAACGACTCTGCATGCAGACTCATGGCTCCTACACTGCAGTTTAGGAGCCATGTATGTACGCGGTAAAATTTGTGCGTGAACAAACAGCTACATACGCCTGTGACGCCGGCAACCTGCGTGCGCAAAATTCTGGATTACTGGCGCGGCTAATACACTATATTAAGCGGACGAAAACGTTGAGCATTTTGGAGAAATCGGATACAACTGAGTCTAATGCTTTCGTGAAACGGATACAGGGCACGCAGACTCCAGTGCGTGTTTATTTCTAAAATGATACCTGACGAAGACACTCGGTTTAGTGCGGGGCGGCCGCGCATGGCACGCGTCATACTTGATCCTCTTGTTTCCAATTGAGCCACCTGATCCGCTGGATCCGCTTCGTGCAAAACGCGTGCACGCAGCAGTTTGTCATCTGGCGCCGCGTAGGTAAAAAGGAATTCTGTATGATTATGCGGATTCGCTGCACGCGACGCCAAACTACAAATTAGTGACGCGGTTTTTGCACGAAGCGGATCGAGTAAATTAACATTGACGACGATGTGGACCACCGGTGGCCCACACACTTTTTGCCGTGAGGGACGATGTGGACCACCGATGGCCCACACCCCTAGGAAGATCATATCCGTTTCAGGTCTAGTATTTTTTCCACAGTTCAACATTTTTTCCAAATTGTTGCACTTTTGGAACCTGTCACTTCGTCGTCCAAGAAGATGGCTGTAGTTGTTTACAAAACATTTTTACATTTTGTAAATAATCACAAAATTTCTCCCCGCCGAAAGTATTGTGCAGAATCGCGTCGTCCCACAGCGCCGCCACGCGATATTAGGCGTCGTCGTCAATGGGTTAAGAGAATCGAGAGGATCAAGTATGGCGGGTGCCCATGGCGCGTTCGGGCGCGACAACATTCGTCTTGCTGTAGCTCATATAAAGCTTTCACGAATGCGTTTAGGGAAGAGATCTAGCCGCATTGCCTGCGCGTTGGCGGATGACCGTCTATGAAGCTAACAATCACTATAACTGTAATAGCTGGAGCTATTTTGAAGCATGGTGAAGCACCAATTGAAACACTTTCCAGCAGTTGGGTTTGTGTGTTAACATGTAAAAGATGTACCGGTGCTGTACATACTTATAAATCCGATTCGATCTGAAGCTCTTACAAACTTCCCTATTGAGTCCATGGGATTTCGTGGACTAGTTTGCAGTTTTACAGGCGAACTGCCGGTAATACGATTGCATGGAATGACAGTTGAGGTAGCACAGCAACCGATTCGTTGGAAAGCTCAGAAAGCACACTATGAATTATGCCAATTCAGAATGGAACTCACAAGCAAAGAAAGGTTAGTCAAAGTGGCCTTTCAAAATGAGACGCGTGCTGCTTTGAAGGGTGTAAAGGGCCGGGCATACTTCACGCGATTTCAGTCGCGACGCGATTTGGCAGTATTCCAACTGTTCATAATTTATTGTAAACACCTTTTAAATGTACAGAAGATAGGACATTTTTTCAAGCCACGTTAGTTATACACACTACGCATGTGCAAAGAAGGAAAGAAAGAGGGTCGCTTGTGCTCATTGGCGTGCCCGAGACTCAAGGAACTAGCGGCTTCCGGACTAATCATGACTATACGTGCGTCAATCAAATTTTTGATTTTTTGTCAGTTAAATTGTTTTCCGACAGCGGTCTACCGCATGGGTAGGCCGCGCCCGGGTTATAACAGGTTGCTAAAAGTTGTTGTCCCTTCCTCATTTTTTGCTAGGCTTGCTCTTAGTAGAGCATCTCAATTGAGATATTTTCCATATCAACACGGGATTTTTATAAGACCGTCTTTATCCAAAGAAGAAAGAGACAGGATTCGTTTTGATAGGTCTAGGCATAGTATTCCCAATGATTTGAGTAATTCAGTTCATGCTTCTGTTCATGTTGATGATATAAATAATACCCTGCGTGGTAGCTCTAAGGTTCTCTCTAGCTCTTTAAACCGTTAAACATTCCGCGGAAAGTAGGTAGTTCTTTCCTTTGTGTTCTATCTAATATCAGGTCGCTGCAAAAAAATGTCTTAAGCCTTACATTCCTACTCAAATCTATGAGGCCATATATAGTCGCACTTACAGAAACATGGTTGCATGGCGATGTTAGCAACTCTTGTTTGTTCGGTGACTCTTGTTCTGCCTATACAATAAAAAGAGGCGGAGGAGTTGCTTTTTTGATCGATAATGAATTATGTCCACACTCGGTTTTTCAAGAGTCAGTCATTGATAGTTATGAAGTATTATGCGTGGATATCCTGACTCGTTATGACCTAATACGTCTCATACTAGTGTATAGAGCCCCATCCTGTTCTGTTCGCTACTCTTATCAGTTGACAAAAGCTTTATCGGATCTGATATCGTGCAATCATTCTTCTGTTTTACTTGGTGATTTTAACTTTCCTGGTGTTGATTGGGGAACTGAACCGCCCTTGAGGATTACTCCTGCCGCGAGGTCCTTTCTCAGTATGTGTGAAAGCCATCTGCTTTTCCAAAGAGTCTCAAGAAGCACTCTGGGGAAAAACATTTTGGATTTGGTTTTCACCAATAAAGATGACCTGGTTACTAATGTTAGACTGTGTCCACCGGTCGGGTCCAGTGATCATGCTACAGTTAGCTTCTCCTTGCGCTGCCGAACTAAAACTCGTACTACATTTTTTGTCAAAAGGGACTATAAAAATGCTGATTTGACGGGAGCTGTCCGTTATCTCGAAAATGTTGATTGGTTTGGTTCTTTTAATACTGTTAGTACTGTCGACGAAATGTATGAACTATTCATTTTTGTCATCCATCATACTATTGATCAATTTGTACCGTTACGTAGGGTCCCAGTTCGCAAAGTCCCACTCCCTCGGCACATTGTCCCCCTCTCTCGTTTTCGTGCGAGGGCGTGGCACAAAGCCAAGTTTAGTGTTGGTCCTGGGGCATCAGATCTATATAAGAAAGTCAATCAAAAACTCGAAAAGAGGTTGAAAAAATACTATGCAAATTTGGAAAAAAAGATAGTCTGCGCTGGTGATAGAACAGGCTTTTACAAGCTCCTCAATGCTAGACTAAAGGAGAGGAAAAAACTGGGTGTTATCAATTCTAACAATGGTACAGTTCTATATTCGAACTCGGATAAAGCTGAATGTTTTGCTGACTTTTTTGAGAGCACTTTTGTGAAGCATCAATGTAATGCCCTACCTCAGGTTCCTACTCCTTGCTTCGAGGTAATGGATGGCTCAATTTATTTTGATGACAGAATAATCTATGAGACGCTTCGTAAATGGCCCACATCTAAGTCCTTAACTCCAGATTTTATTCCGCTTCATTTTATCAAAGAGATAGCCCACGTGATATCTAAGCCTCTACAATTCTTATATAACCTTAGCTTGATGAGGTCCGAGGTCCCTAACAGATGGAAGGTCTCGTTCGTGACGCCCGTCCCCAAAAGAAAACCTTACACTTGTGTATGCAACTACCGTCCTATCAGCATTACGTCCATATTTGCTAGACTATTTGAAAAAAATAATCAAAAAACAAATAATAAATCATCTAGAGAATCATGGAATTATATCTACTGCGCAGCATGGGTTTCGTCAGGGGAAGTCTACTACTACGGCAATGTTGCATTGCTTGAACGACTGGACCCGCTATTTAGACGCTGGACAGGGCGCCGATATCATTTATCTGGATTTCACCAAGGCGTTTGATAAAGTTCATCATC